GCTAAATTATTGATTCTATTACTGCAACGCTGTCTGACCAAATCACCACACGCATGAGTTAAAAACAACAATTTTCAGAGAGACTGTTAGGAATGATAGAACAGCTTGGTCTAGCACGCTCATTTAAGTCAGTGTCAGCCGTCATGTGGTCAACCGTTTTAGTACGCTGTGTCCATCACAGATGAAGCGAGAGCCTTTCTTCCTGTAGGGGCATGGACAGCTAAACAGACACTAAAACGGCTCGTTCAGAAGAGGGCTAATCAAGGTTAAACAGTCACGGTTAAATCAACCATCTTTGTAGTAATTTGAGCTGAAAAATTGAAAGATACATTTTTGAGTCGTGACGTTTTATGCTTTTTTTTTTTTTTGCTGAAAGGGGGTAAAATATGGGACCTTAGGAAGTCCAGAAGTGCAAACTGTGCATTTTGAAGACAGAAAGAAGAAGAAAAAAAATCCTACCAGAATTACAATTGCCCATTATCATGAAGAGGTTATCTGTTTTCCATGATGGGAATGGTCAGGATAAAGGGGAGACCATCACATTTGTTAATGACGAGCTGAACAGGATTATACTCTGTTAATGGCATGTTAATGAGGTCCGTTAGAAATGTGCATGGCTGCTCCCTTTGGACTTAATCCCATTTGTAGCAGTGAAGCGGGAGCCTAAGCAGATTTCACTGATTGTATTTCCAAGTACTCCTTGTGGACCAGAAACGAGCCGCCTATCTGATGGTAAGTGCTAAGACAAATGTAGGAGCAAAAGATAAGAGAAGCTCAGTGATATCTCACCCGCACCAAGAGATGAATCCCTGACAACAGTGCTTGAAATGTACTGTAAAATGCATCACAGACTCTAACATATACAGTAGGCTTAGCTTATGCTGGTGGAAGCTGCAAGCTAATATTGTGTCCCAACAGACCTATTCTACACCACCAGAGAACCAAGAAGTATGCAGCGCCTTTATGAATTATAGGTGGAATGCACTCCATTAAATAGGATTGCACAAGCAAGGGACATGAAAAGGAAAAAAAAAATCAGTAATGGAGATACTTTGATGCAGCAACCCACTCATGTATCTGTTGCTAGAACTCTACCCAGGCAGTAATTTAAGAGAAACATTTCTTTTCATTATCTAAGAAGTATATTAGAGACGTTTTTTTTTTTTTCTCTCTTCTGCATCTGACAATTTCTATTGAACAGATATTAGGGTTGAAAGAAAGTCATGTTTAATGGCATCATTTCCTCCAAGATTTTCATGAGTGATTAAGATTGACTTCAGCAGTTGATCTCTGTGCAAATTTAAATAGGGCCCATTTGATACACTGGGCAACAAACACTACAACAGGAAAGTCTAAGGAGCTCAACACAGATCTAAAAAAATCAATCATTGACTTGAATAAGTCAGGAAAGTCACTTGCAGCCATTTCAGAGCAGCCACGGATCCAACAGTCATCTGTGCAAACAATTGTTTGTAAAGTGCAAGGTACAGTTAAACACCTCCTGGTCAAAATGGCAGTACTTCCGATTTTTGACTACGGTGACATACTTTATAGATCCACATCCAAATCCCTCCTCCATAAACTGGACACTATCTACCACACGGCCATCCGTTTTGTCACTGGTGCCCCCTCAACGACTCACCACTGCACTCTGTACAGCCTGGTTAACCCTCTCTTCACTCCCACAGGCAAACCCATTGGTATTTGTTCATTTATAAAACTATCATAGGTCAAACTCCGGCATACCTACGTTCACTACTCATCACCTGTCACATCAGCCACTCACTTCGCAACAGCAACCTCATCCACCTCCTCATCCCCAAAGCCTGCGCTGTCTTTGGCCACTATTCATTTCAGTTTTCTGCAGCCCTCGACTGGAACCACTTACAAAAAACACTCAAACTAAGTGTCTTTATAGCTTTATCTTATTTTAAAAATATGCTGAAGCAACTATTTACCGAGTCCTGTACCGGCTTGTAGTGTATTTTATCTTCAAAACCTTTTATTGATACGTTTTGTTCGTGTACTGTTTTTTATGGATGTATTGTATTTTCTGCTCTGTGCTGCCTCTTGGCCAGGTCGTTGTTGTAAATGAGAATCTGTTCTCAATTAACCTACCTGGTTAAATAAAGGAAAAATAAAATAAATACAGTTGAGTCAGTGGTGATCTGGAAAAAACACAAGCTATCACCTGCTGCTGAGAGACAATTTGTCTGGATGGTCATACATCAATCAAGAATCACCAAAAAGCAGGTCTGCAATGAATTAGAAGCTGCTGGAACAGCTGTGAGTAAAATGTTAAATCTTTCAGTCAGTGAATTTCAGGATATCATGCTTTACTGACAGCAGCACTCGAGCTGCATGGACTCCACATGTTTGTTCTGACCTGATAACCCATGGTATCCCAGCAAAAAGCTTCAAAGAGAGAAAAAGAGAGTTCCAAACAGCTTCCTGCCATGTTGAAAAATGTTTCGTGTTTCAGTCACGCACTTCTTCCCATCATCTGACGGGATCTGAACCTGTCGGTATCATGTCTGGATGAGAACTCTGGTAACTTTCCTGGCAATCTAACTAGGTTGGACCAAGTAACATTTCTGCAGCCCTTGAAACTGAACTGCATGCGGTTCTTTGAAGTTGTGTGAAGTGATGTTGGGGATGTTTTTTTTCACATTACAGCACCAATATAGGTCCAAAAACATCACAGGGAGAAACAGACACAGTTTTCTGCATAAATCACAGAACACCTTCTCCTTCACTTTGCCCGACAACTTTGCACATAAACACAAACACAGAAGTTCTAAAAAGTAAACGGTACTGTGATGAAGACAGGGTCTGTCACAGGTCAGATTAAAGAGACTCATCAATCATGATTGCAATCCAGGTTTTGATAAAACAAGAGCAGAGGTTAAGTTTGTTGCTTCTAGCGTTGCCATGGTGATGGCGGCACGCATAGACACAGCGGCCGCTCCAGGAGACAACGAAAGTGAACGTTTTGAGTGTCTTGTCTATCCCAGACATTCATTCCGCAAAACTTGTGGCCGGGAGATTTTGCTGAGCGTTAGGACAGTGAACGGCGCTGAAATTTCGGCGATCGGTTGTAATTTGGACATACTACACCAACACGGAGTCTGATCGGAGACTACACTGGCAGCTACCCGAGAGAAAAGGAAAACGGTACGTATGTAAACAAAGGAGGAAGAGAGGATCCATGAAAGGCTAAAGGCTAAAGGCTAAAGGCTAACCCCTCCAGACCAGCAGGACTGTCGCTGCTACTCTCCAATGTCCGCTCCCTCCACAACAAGCTGGACGAGCTACATTTGCTGAGAGAAACCCTCAGAGAGTGGAGGGACTACTTTGTGTTTGCTTTAACAGAAACATGGCTCCATGACAACATACATACAGCTGGATGTTACAACATTATTCCGGGCGGACAGACAGACAGCTAGCTCTGGGCAGCATCTGCGTCTTCACCATTGTCACACCACCATGTGTGTCTCTTTGTGTCCCTGAAGACCTACCAGGACCTGAAGAGGTTCACCATGTCAACGTGATGGCGCGCACGGACGCAGCGCCCCCTTCAGGAGACGCGAGAGTGAACGTTTAGTGTCTTGCCTCTCCCAGATGTGAATTCCGCGGAACTTAAGTGAAGAAACGCTCTCTCATCTTGCCTGTTCTACTGTGTATGTACAGCAAAATGACAATAAACCTGATCTGATCTGATTTGATTCGTGTAGGATGAGTTCTACTGAGTTTATGAAATACCTGCAGCATTGGACAGCAGTAGGATCGATGTGTGTCCAAAGAGTTGCACACATTTATGCACAACAGCAGTAACATCTCTGAATATTTATAATATGAATTAAGTTAGATCAGAATCTTAGATCAAGTCACACTGTGTACTTTCTTTTTTTTTTTAGATTAGACTGATGAGCTGTCATGCAGTCACAGATTATCAGCTGCAGTTAAATCATTTGTTACATAGCAGTCATCCTTAAGCTGAGTCTGAGCTCCATTGCGTCTGTAGGGACATTTTAATTTTACTGTTGATAAATTAGTTGTTAGATTGTCATCACACAAGGACAGAATTTTTCTGCTAAAAAAAATGTTATTTGTTTAGATGTAGTCTTTTGTTTTAGTGTATTATTATGTATTACACATCACTTGATGTACTGTCCAATCTGGCATGTACGACAAATATTGCACGCCTGCCGTGACTCTGTCTGTGGCAGGTATGTCTGAATGAGGAACATTTACATAAAGGTGACCTGTGTTTGAATGACAGAACCACCACTTTAACAGACGGTGGAGCCAGCAGAATTACATATTCCGTGTCTGAAAAGGGCTTAAATGGACCATGAATGTTTTGCGGGGTTGAGTTCAGGTGACTGTGGAGGAAAGCCAATGACAGACACCATTCCTTGGTCGTCTTTGGTCTTCAAGTCAAAGCTTTGAGGTGTGTTTGGGCTCCGTATGAATCCTTCTCTACAAAAATGCAACCCAGGGGATGGAGCGTAGCTGCTTCTCCTTGCTGTAGGTGTCCAACTCCAGAGTAACAAACTCCTCCAGACTTGAATATTCCCAGCAGCATGTCTCGTTGTCTCTCCTGTTGGACACCTTTCATACCCTCTTCTGTTGCTGCTACTAACCTATACTGGGATTTGTCAGTAAATAGAACTTTTTCCGTCATCCATTGCAAAATGCTTCTCTGTCTTAGCCCACATCAAGCAATAATGCACAGCATACAGTTTAACATCGAAGACATTTAACATACTATTTGGAGCTCAATGGTGTGCTTTTTAGCTTTAAGAGTTTTCAACTAGATGTAGGTCTGAATTCAGATCACGCTCTGCTCTTCGTATTTCACAGTGTAATCAGATTAATGTTTTTCCAAGTAAAATAATAATTTTAGAAATTAAACTGTATTTATATTTCAACAATAAATATTTAGTAGTGGTTAAATTTCACAATTAGATATTCAGCTGCTTCTGAAAGTGTAATTACCGCAGCCTGTCTTATTTCCATATTATTTTGTTTTAAGGGATAATGAAAATGATAACACACCCGACTACTCTTCCACCTTTTTGCTTAACTGCTATAAAGTTTTCTATCAGTCTTCAAGTCCCCTCCACCAACCTCTTCTCTGTTCTCGTTTAAAAAGAGCTTTCATGCAGCTCATGCTTATCAGTCTTGAGTACCTGAATTTCCTCCATTTAGCAGTTTAGCATCCATTCACTCTGCAGTAAACTTTTACACCATACTGTTGAAGGTCTAAATTGATTATTCACTTAGGATCCACAGCAGGCCTAAGTTTCAGACTGATCTTACACTGCTCTGAGTCTGAAGCAATTAGTGAGCGTGCAGCTTTTTACACGATACTTTTAGCATGAACACTTTCTGATGTGTTTGCTGCCGTGTTTTCACCACATTTATTTTTGTAGTTTGTGACATCACGCAGGAATCCACATGACCATCCTGTGCTTCTGCTATCCGTGGCTCTTGTGCTTACCTTGGTATCTGATGGCAATGCCTGTGGATGTGCCTGTAGCATCTGTAGTCAGCTCAATGAAGAGATGCCTGGATGTGCTGAGGAGACCTTCATTAGGCAGATATTCCACCTCATATGAATCATAAAGCACAGCTGCATCGATGCTGTTACCATTCTTGATCAGCAGCCTGGAAAAGAGGGAACAAAAACTCATTTAGCAGGGCTCCCACTGGCCATGAAATCAATACCTGGGCTACTTTAGAATTTAAAAGACTGTACTTGATTCTTGTATGTATAAATCTATGTGTAGAGAGCTGTATTTTTTATATTAAAGCTGAACTCATGTCTTTTTTTTTTGTATTACCAATTCATCAAATAACTACATACAAGTAATGAAAAAGGAATTGCGGATACTGATTGAACCTGCAGGGAATTATCAGCAACTCTGCAGCTCTACTGAGCTATTTTGCCTCTTCTCACTCCTTGTTTTGGATTTCCAGCAAGCTCTGTTCTCGTTAACCTTGTTTTCAGCAGCACACAGCTGGTTTCAAAAAGCTCTGAAAACCTATTGTACACCACCAACCAACCACCAAACAGAAAAAAAAAAGGGTTAGTAACTTGCTCCTGAACATAGATGAGCACCTGGGAGCTAAAGAGCCAGATGTTTTTTTCAGGTGTTGATAGAAGAAGAAAGCAGAGATAATATGGGCTTGCCCAGCTCTAGATGAGTCCCACTGTTGCTTTTTTTGTGTGGCAGAATACGTGCAGCTTTTAAGGACAATGTTAAGTCATATAATTGATAGTTAGTACTTGTTTAGCCTTTTCATGTTAGCCTACTAGATCCTGGGAAAAGCATCCCATAACCTGCAGTTCTGTTTAAACAAAATACAGTACTGACACATGATATAATCAGTTCAGATTGCAGTCCTGTTGTCCAGATGTGCACCAGCATTGAAGAGGTTCTTTCTGAGCTCATGCTTCACCTCTCCAGTCGGGTTAAATGAAATTCAGCTTTGTGGTTTTTCGTAATCTTGCAGACAAACAGGTGGCCTGTTTGTGTTTGGTTTAACGTGTCCATTAACTGCTCCAATTTTAGGTTATTTTTATGGAGTAACTACACAATAGCTAACTGAGGTTTCGATTCCGACTATGGTAGGTGCATATTTAAAACAGGAAACTGGTGTTTGAACTGTGTAACTGATGTCTAATTACAGCAGACAGTGCAATTTAAAAAAATACAGATTAATTTGTTTTCTCTGTCACAAAATGTTGACTGATGTTGAGGTTTGTCTTACCACTGCTATGCTCATGACACCCAGCTTCATCTTTCCTTTCCACTAGACAAGCCAACAATCTCAGCACAGGTCTCAGCGTGCCTCACTGGTATCTCATATTGGTTACTAAAGCCACCTTCAGCTGCTTGAATTCCCCTCATCCAGGTCTACAGGCAGCCTTCTTTACTATGATCTACAAATGAACACTAACTAGTCCCAGCATCTTAGTCACAGCTCTCTCAAAGGTGCATTAACCAAATTTGATTCAGTCAGCAAAATACATTTCTGCCGTTGAAGTCCTTTCTCTCCCAAAAGTACTTAGTACACTATATTGCCAAAGGTATTTGCTCACCTGCCTTGACTCACATATGAGCTTAATTGACATCCCATTCCTAATCCATAGGGTTTAATATGACGTCGGTCCACCCTTTGCAGCTGTAACAGCTTCAACTCTTCTGGGAAGGCTGTCCACAAGGTTTAGGAGTGTGTTTATGGGAATTATTCACCATTCTTCCAGAAGTGCATTTGTGAGGTCACACACTGATGTTGGACGAGAAGGCCTGACTCTCAGTCTCCGCTCTAATTCATCTCAAAGGTGTTCTATGGGGTTGAGGTCAGGACTCTGTGCAGGCCAGTCAAGTTCATCCACACCAGACTCTGCCATCCATGTCTTTATGGACCTTGCTTTGTGCACTGGTACACCTTCATGCTGGAAGAGGAAGGGGCCATCTCCAAACTGTTCCCACAAAGTTGAGAGTGTGGAATTGTCCAAAATCTCTTGTCATGCTGAAGCATTCAGAGTTCCTTTCACTGGAACTAAGGGACCAAGCCCAGTTCCTGAAAAATAACCCCACACCATAATCCCGCCTCCACCAAACTTCACACTTGGCACAATGCAGTCAGACAAGTACCGTTCTCCTGGCAGCTGCCAAACCCAGACTCGTCCATCACATTGCCAGATGGAGAAGCGTGATTTGTCACTTCAGAGAACGTGTCTCTACCGCTCTGGAGTCCAGTGCTGGCATGCTTTCCACTACTGCATCCAACACTTTGCATTGCACTTGGTGATTAATGGCTTAATAATTGTAACCCATTATTAAAACCCATTCCATGAAGCTCTCTGCGCACTGTTCTTGAGCTAATCTGAAGGCCACATGAAGTTTGGAGGTCTTTAGTGATTGACTCTGCAGAAAGTTGGCGACCTCTGCGCCGTATGTGCCTCAGCATCCGCCGACCCCGCTCCATCAGTTTACATGGCCTACCACTTCATGGCTGAGTTGCTGTTGTTCCCAATCGTTTCCACTTTGTTATAATACCAGTGACAGTAGACTGTGGAATATTTAGGATCAAGGAAATTTCACAACAGGACTTGTTGCACAGGTGGCATCATATCACAGTACCATGCTGGAATTCACTGAGCTCCTGAGAGCGACCCATTCTTTCACAAATGTGTGTAGAAACAGTCTGCATGCCTTGGTGCTTGACTTTATACACCTGTGGCCATTGAAGTGACTGGAACATCTGGTTTTGGTTATTTGGATGGGTGAGTGAATACTTTCGGCAATATAGTGTATCTCACAATTCTACTTTAGCCTTTTCTTTACAAAAATGACATTTTCTAGGTACTTAGATGTTAAAACACCTGCAAGCTTTGTAGCACTTGTGTGAAGTGGAGTGTTGTGGTACGTCTTCTCAAAGGATTCTTCTTGTTGTACTGTGGCTTGGAGTGAACCTCGTAGCTTTAGACTAAAGTGTCTGCCAAACAGGTCTGTTTAAAACCTGTCTGACAGTGTTCTCAATAAACTGGATGAGCACAATGTTACTTTTACAGATAGGAATGAGTGCTCCTACTATGGGAATACAACCCAACTTAAAGTAAATAACAGCTTTATCCTTAAGTAACCCATTTACTACCATTAGCACACTGAAAGAAGGTGTCAGACCTAGCTTCACCGTGTATTGGCATCTGAGTTTGGGAGGTTTATTGAAGTAGTCAGACTCGATGTTAATCCTCTGAATGTCACAGCCCTTCACTTGTGGCTCCGTTCCTTTATGGTTTCCTATGCAGGTCTGCATTGATCTCGTCCTTCTTTGCGCTTAAGTATTCTTCTCAGGTAGAAAGAAAGAACGTGTAACTGAGCCTTGGTGTCAAAATAAAGTCTATATTTGCATTTATTTCATGTGCTTCTATTCACACTGACACAACTGAACTGAATGAAGGGAAAATGTTCTTCCTTTTCGCTCTAGTTCTCTGAAGTGGTGAGCAGTCTTGTTTCTCCCACAGGTGTGTTGAAAAGCATTTTGTGTGATGAATACAATGAGTGTAAAATATATTGGAACACAACAGCTCACCACCCACAAGGCCATGCTGCTTTAAGATGGCTCAGCAGGTAACTAGAGCATCACTCTTCCTCAGGTTTAAGCTTTAACCACGAGCGCACCACATGTTGTCATGTGGATAAATGAATGCTTGACTCAAAAATCTGAGTTGAATCAGGGATCTTCGACAAATGCTTCAATCTCAGGGGTGACTCTAGCTTGCTGCATGCAAAATAACTTATTAATGGTGACATTTTAATGAATTTTTAGACTGACATTCAAATGAAAATATGCTATATCCAACCACTTTATTTTATTCCTGCAGCAACTGCATGGTTAACTAACTTCAGCTGACATTTTCCACTGTCAAAAGGCTGCTGACATTAGGTAACCAGCAGAGTTCAGTTTAAATCAACATGGCCAAAAGCTTCTCAGTTTATTACTGATTACTTACACTGAGTGATGATAAGGCTCAGATTTCTTGCGTTACAGTGTCACAATGAACTCAGGTGGTAGAACAGTTGTCCTCTGACCATAAGGTTGGTGGTTCGATCACCGCCCCCTCCACAGTCGAAGTGTCCTTGGGCAAGACACTGAACCCAAAGTTGCTCTCAATGGCAGGCTAGCGCCTTGCATGGCAGCTCCGTCGCCATTGGTGTATGAATGTGTGTGTGAATGGGTGAATGAGAAACATTGTAAAGCGCTTTGAGTGCCGCAAAGGTAGAAAAGCGCTATATAAGTGCAGTCCATTTACAATGTGTGAGCTGTGCAGTTCAGCCAATAGAGGAAATACAACATTTTTGCTTTGTTAATATGGGACTATTCTGTATTGAGAATCAAATGCGTCGTTCCTTGTTGAATCAATCTGAGATGCAATTTGTCCTGTATGTTTGTAAGTGGAGCTGTTAGTATTAGGATGATGTATTCTTCACTTAGCCTACATGTACATCCCGTTACCTTTATTTTTTTTTTAATGGAAATTACTGCAAGGGACAATCCAGACAGACATGTCCCTACTACCTCTACCTGTGCTCTATGCTTCCAAATAAGCCTGCCTTGGTGCAGTTTGTTTGTGACATGAACACCAAGCAGAAGCAATAATGAAAAACATTAATGTTCACGAAATGGAAAAAAGATTTTTATTTACGTTTCTATCACTATAACTGACATACAACATTAAGCTATAGTATATTAGTAGTGTAGTGTAGTATAATGCTCATGATGAGTTCAGTCTTTGTGAGGTTTTTATCTCACCAGAAAAGGCACCAAAATTGTCCAGACATGAGTCATCAGTCAGCCCGTATGACTTCATGTTTTATCCTTTTGATTTATTAAGAAACAGTCACTAGACCACGACCATATAAAGAGCTAATATATATCCAAAGATGCAGTTAAAGTGGTTGTTTCAGCTCAGATTATTTTGTTGTATTTGCACCACTTGAACCCATTTTAGAAACACTACAAAAACAAACAAACAAAAAATCAACTAAATATTATGTCCTGCCAGTAGTAAATTGGTGCATCTGTTGGTGGAGCCACTAATCCATCAAACACATGCTGATGATTTTGGTATACTTCTGTAGAGTTTATCTGATCAAGCTTGAAGCCCACAATACCAAAGTCACTGAAGTGGTATGTACAGAATTACCAAAAAAAAAAAAAAAAAAAGCAGATGGTGTTTAACAAGCCAACAGACCTCGGCTCATTACACTAATACCTTTTACACTCCTGCCAATTCTCTATCCTCTCCACATCATCACTTCTCTCTGATCTTCTCACTTTCCTCAGAACTGTCCAGATGTCTCTTCATATCTGTGAGGTCTACATTTGTAGCGGGAGTGTAAGAGCAGCCCGGAGCAGCTATTGGCTGGAAGACAAAATGAATTATTCAGCTAATTTGCCCCCTGTGGCTCCTCTTTTCAGTCCTCTGTAATGAGAGCCCCATGCTGCTAAAATGACACTCTGCTGTCACTGCTATGCACTGCACTGACAGCCAGTTGTTATCCTGCAGAGTCCTCAGAGGCAATGTTTCTACAGAGACAAACCAGAAGGTATGAAGCTCAAGAGGCCTGCACATTGAACAGGAGTGAAGGACTGTTCACAAGTAAAGACGAAGGTAATACATCACAGTTAACAGGGCATGAACCACGAGACAGTAGTTACACTGGCCTGCAAGCGTTTTCTGACATCTTTCAGTGCCATCGGTTTAGACCATTTAATATCTGCGTACATACCTCAATTCCAAAACTGTGCAACAAAACCACTAAATCATTTTCCACAGTTTTTATATTTCTCTCGGTTGTTTGTCAACGGTGGGCAGCACGGGAGTGCAGAGGTTGGTGCTGTGGCCTCGCAGCAAGAAGCTTCTGGGTTTTAAATATGCTGGTGGGCTGAAGCCAAGCGTATCACGACAGCACACGCTGATAGGAAACAAAGCGTTGCCATACTTGTGCTTCAGTGGCAGTTTGGTCAACTGCTCAGCTGATCACTCCAAGTTTAGCAAACTGCCAAAAGGAAAACTCTGAGCATCTGTAACTGTTATGTGCACATTTGACTAAAAATACCAACAACTGTACATCAACAACTCTTAACAGATAAACTTCCTCTTGTTCTAAACCTTAATTTATTTCATAATTGTAGCCTTCACAGCCTAAGTAGGAACATTCGAGAGTCTGTGAGTGTGAAGATTGGGATTGGCTCTGTGTTAACCTGTGATGAGATCTGTCCATGTTGTGCCTGTAGACCATCTACATCGTAAACAGATGGATGGAAGTTCATCATTGTGTCATCTTTAAATCTAAAGTGAATTCGTGTGGGGCAGCGAAAACAATTTATAAACATAACAACCCTTTGAATCAAATACAGTAGAGGTTTTAAATGTATTTGATAGATCCCTTTGTACATTAGCATGGTCTCCGCCATCTCCTGATGGGCATATCTGGTTCCTCAGCACTCTGTTGTGTGCACCAGCTAGTTTCTAACTGTATCTGTGATATTGTCAGAGTGCTGGTCACCTGGCAGCTAAACAATGAGCTTAAATTCTGAACTCAGTGCATCAGTCACAACTACTTTAATAAACTCTGTGGACATTGATCTGATTATTCTCTTATTATTGTTTGCACAAAATCTTGAATTATCACTGTCAGTGTTGAAAACAGGATCATGTTTTATGGAAATAATTAATAACAGACTCTTAAAGTTTGGGGAAAAACAAAATACATTGTGCGTATTATGTGTACATTTGGTGCCAAAGTTGTTTATTGAATGCATTTCTTTCATGCATTTGTGAATTGCCAATAACTATGTTTACCATCTTCCTCCCTAATTTTGCTGGTGCATCACTAAATCCGTGGAACAATGTGAAACCACTGATAGAACAGAATCAACTGTGCTCAATGCACGTGTGTTCAGATTGTCCAGATGCAAGAACATAATGGGGATCCATTCATGACAAAAAAAAAAGCTCCATAGAGTTACTGCAGGCCTAAAACCCCACAATGGCAATTAAAAAAAAAACAAAAAACAAAAAAAACAAACTCTACATTTATAAATCTGATGCAGCCACTTGAACATTTCATTGCTAAATGTAAATTGCAAAGTCTTAGTCGGGCACAGTGACACAAAAATGTTCATTTTGTTTGGATTTGAATTAAAATTTAATGTAAAAATGGTCTCTTTAAACCATGATGGAATTCTATTGGAATACATAATTTAGCAAAAAAAATCTGGGCTCTTTAGATGTGGTGGTGTCTTTAATTTTACTACTGGGGGATGTCAGCATTTAAAAATTGTAAACCTTGTGGGTTTAGTTGAAATGATCAAAATAAAGTATACAGTGTAATAGACTGTTTTAAATAGTTGTGTGTGTGTATACATGCAGTGACTCCATCACCACGGTCCTTAAATAATGTTCAATCATCTTCACATAAAAGCTTACCGATCATCATCCTCAGCCAGCGCAACCTTCTCAAAGTGGATGTGCAGTTTCTGGCCCTCAGGGGCCTCCAGCACCCAGTGGCAGGTCAGGTTGTTGCTGTAGTTGCTGGGAAAACCAGGAGAGACGATCCGTCCGACTGTGACGTTCCTGATAATACCACCACAGGCAGCTGACAGAAGGAGGAGAGAAAGTGAAAAAAAAATTAAAATAAAACTGGGATAAACATTTCACATTTAAATTACATTGAATCGTAATCTTGCTAACTAACTGGTGCTGTCCTGTTCCATATTACCATTACCTAATTCACCACTACCAGTGTCAGTGTAGAAAAACAGGCTGGAACCATGTCAGAGAGCACAAGGATGCAGTTACATTTTGATGATGCAATCAAGAACTAAAGCAAT